CCTGATGAATATTGTTTATCTTTTTTTGTTGGAAATGAGAGGCAATTGAAATGAACCCTAAATTTCATTTTTATTGCTGTCCAGATTCTATTTCTGTCTTGTTTGATCTGTTTTCTTTGCATATTTTGGTGAATGGTATTGTGTTTCCAGGCAGGTTGACCCGACCTAAGCTAAAAAAAAAAACTAAACAAAAAGTAAATAAAATGATATATTGATTATGATAATTAGTTTAATATGTGATTAATAAAGTTAATTAATTTTAATTAGAGTGAATTAATTATGTTTATTGATCTTAATTTGAGATAATTAGATCAAGTTAATTATCTTGATTAGAGGTTAATAAATATGATTAATTAATTTTAATTAATTTTAATTAATGATAAGTTAGCCATTCAATTGAATTAATTATCATAATTAATTAATTTTAATCTTCCATTTGCCTTAATCTTGTTTAAAAAAAAAGAAAAGTTATCTCTTTTTTTATTTCAATTTCGCACAAAACTCTCATGTTCATGCACATTAGTCCAAATGTTTCAAATCTTTTCAAATCTATCTTCCATTTTTTTGAATTTAATCAAATCAGTCCTTTATTTTTATTTTAATCAAATCAGTCCCTTTAATTTTTACTTGTGTTCATTGTGCATGCATGTCTTTGATTCGTCCATTTTGGTCCAAAATGTTAAAAATGTTGCAATTTGGTTTATCTCTTTTTTCAAGTTTGCTTATTAAGACTCAAACATAAATGTAATAAATAAGTTGAATCAAAACCCCCAATGTTAAAGTATGCAACCGTGTTTAAACGGAGGATTGTGAGGTGCGCGTATGCCCTTCCTCATTCCTAATCGAACCCCCGAACCCCGATATTTGCGCAGACCTGTTTTAGGTGACTTGTCCCACCTTATAATTTGGACGAGTGGTGACTCCCCTTTTTCTTATATATTTCACACTTGATTTTTCAATTTATTTTGAAAAAAATCTGTCGTCAACAGATTAGCGACTCGACTGGGGACTAAACCCAGAATCTCTGGTTTCCATATTCTAGGTTCACAAGGGTCGAGCTAATACTTTAACTTTGGGGAATTTTTCAGCTTTCAATTTTCTTTGATTGTTGAGTCTTTGTGGGTCTTTGTTATTTATTGTATATGTTTGTTGCATGTTGCATGTTGCATGTTACTTGTTTGCTCAATGTTTTAGTGGTTGCTTTGATCATTTTGTCTTTGAGTAGTTACCTTGCTACACCTTGACATGCATCATACCTTGCTTACATGTTCATGCATCATATCATTTAACATGCTCATCCATCATTGATATAACATGCTTATTCATCATGCATCATGCCTATATGCTTACTTGCTTGTTTGTGAATGTGCTAACCTTTTGCATTTGGCATGGGAGTACAAGGTGAGTCCCTTTCGGCTATGTAAGTAGTTTTGTTTGTTGGTGATATATTTGTTGAGTGCTTTACATGTTTTGTTTGCTTGTTTGCTTTATCTATTTGCTGTGGGATATCTGTTGCTATCTTGTGGTTGTCATTGTGCAGGTTATTGGAGTGTGTCATGCCCCTTGCACACACTCACTCTCATTTTGCATTAGGTCCGTGTCAGAGGTGAACCCGACCTCTAGTCTGGAATCCTTACGAATCTGGCCTGGAAGAGCAATTCTTCCCGCTTTGAGGAGTAAGATCGGTTCCCGTTAGGTTGTTTCCATTGGTTAATACGACACTTGATGATGTAATATCATTCTGTGTATTAGCTTTTGGAAATATCTCCCATTGATTCC